TTATTATTTTTTTTTTAAACCATTAAGAGCCCTTCATCAAATATCAAAACAAAAAATATCCCGCAGACATCACCGAATATATGGACAATCGCTGAACACGTTTACTGATATTTAATCTTAACTTGTCTCATACACGGAACACATCGTAAAGATAAATTACGTTAAAAGTGTACGCAATTAAAATTATGCACACTTTAAAAAAAAAAAAAATTGTATCGGGAAGTTGGTAACGTAAACTCTGCAAGCATATACGTAAATGCCATGAAATATTTAGCACCTTAAAACACGCACGTTTCCACGCTTATAACACGCCTAAAGATGCTAACACGGTTGGGTAGTACATCAAAACTTGCATGAAGACGATATCACATTTAGTAAGTGCTTCATAACTCGCCTATAGATGTTGATCACAGATAGGAAGTAACTTCATAACTCGCCTAAAGATGATATCACAGATAGGAAGTACATCAGAAAGACCGTAGGTGTCGAGATATAGAGAATCCAGCGGTTTAAAAAAAATGTAAGAGAAGACGTCTAGATGTGTAGATCCAAACACAGACAGTTTTAATGAGTAACTTAGCAGGGGCCACTATAAAAATGTCAAGGCGAGGTTTATCTTCCCGTGTAATCATGCATGGCATATTGCAAAGCTGGGTGGGGGGAAAAAGGGTGGGGGGTGTCTGTGCACCCAGTAGATGGAACAGTCCACGTGACTTGGTGCAGGAGGTAGACGGCTCATTAATACCGGCTCTACTAATACAGTAAGTGCCTCATCCCGTGTGGCTCATTCCAGTTGTATCAATCCAGGTGACTCTATTCATATGGTAGATAACACATTCCTAAAGGCCCTACTTGCTTGGTGGATGGCTCATTCAAGGGCTCTATATTACACATTTGATGTGTGCAGTTAGCAAAACGGTAATTGAAGATACTGGTATCATAAGCCATTAGTAGATGTTCCTTGCAACAACCCCCCGGCATCATAAGCCATTAGTAGATGTATCTTGCAACAACCGCCCGGCATCATAAGCCATTAGCAGATGTCTCTTGCAACAACCGCCCGGCATCATAAGCCATTAGCAGATGTCTCTTGCAACAACCACCCGGCATCATAAGCCATTAGCAGATGTTCCTTGCAACAACCGCCCGGCATCATAAGCCATTAG